ATCCCCCGGAGGTTTATCATAAATTCTGTATTGTCCCCTGACGTTGGGAACCACCGTCATAATCCTTTCACCTGTCGCTTTTGTTAGTCCCTTCGACAGATCATTATAATCTATTATCTCTTTGTGGTGGCCGAATTTTGCTATTCAAAAGGCTTTTTAATGGCTGCATCGATCGACATGCGGTTTTAGCCAAAAGATTCTTTAAAAGATATTCTCCAGATCATGAGGTCCTTGGGTTTTTTTTAAAGTTTTGAGACAGTTTTGCTGTAAAAGGCTAAATTTCTTTATTTCGCCGATCGCTTAAGTAGGCCGACGCTTCTGTCTCGGTAATTTTAGAAAATCCGACAGGTTTTTTTTATTTCAGGTCTATCGCGCATTATCGTGCAATACTGACAAAGAGTCTACATAACTATGTACTATCTTTGATACTGAGCACTATTTTAAATGTGCGACCCGTATAGATCTAGCCTCATGTTTTCTTTTTTTTTTACCAATGACTTTCAGTTGATGTTAATGCACCGATCATTCCTTTCATCGAAAAGGGGCCCAGCTAGTAATATATAATAATAGATAGCATTTGTATAGCGCAAATCCCTGCTCAACAGCAAGCTCTATGTGCTTCACAATCTACACTATAACTAGTATTACCCCAGCCGACCTGAGATCATTCTGAAACAAACCTCAACTATCTGGGAAGCATAAAGTGGGAGCTGCCATTTATAGGCGCTAAAACACTAACATACTAACAAGATCTTTCACTGTCTATAGCTGGGTACCCATTCCCACCTGGGTGAAGTGAGGAAATCAGTGTAAAGTGCCTTTCCCAAGGACACAACGTCGGGCCCGCGGCTCGAACCCCTGAACCCGCAACCTCACGATTACGAGGCCGGTATCCTTATACGGGGTACCCACTACGGCTGACGATCGCCCGACTCGATCGCCTTAAAAACAAACGTGTTTGTTTTCAGTTTCAGGCGATCGAGTCGGGCGATCGGCCCGATCCAGCCGTAGTGGGCACCCTGTATAACCACTGGGCCACCAACGCCACAGTAAGTTGTTTGTTTGTTTGTTTGTTTGTTTGTTTGTATGCATATTGCGTAGGCCCCTCCCACTGTCCACCAACTGGAAGTAATAAACTTTTCAGCTGCTGGTGAGGGAAGTGTGTGGTCTGTCATAACCCATAATCCCCGCCCACAACTCATGCACAAATCGTGAGTGAGATGAGTGGTCACTGTTTACCCAGTCTGTAACAAAGTAACAATGGACGTCAACATGAACTTGCAACAGAAGCGTCGCTCAATGTTCTCCGAGTGATGGCTACCTATGTGTTTTCTTTACCATGACACCCAGTCTTCCTCGTTATATAAACACAAAAAATAGAAAAATAACACATTAGAATAATAACTTTAAAAAAAATTAACACACTAACAAATGAAAACACAAGAAAGAGGAAAAAAAGAAAATAAAAACAGCAATATAATAAATAATGTTTCATGTACTTTTGTTCTTCACATGAAAATAACGAATCAACGTGACGTCAACAAGTGAGGAAGAGACGAAGAGAAGCGGAAGTGAAATTAACTTTCTTTCTAAAAATAAAGAGGTTCGGTTTCTTTTTTTTTTTTCGATATACATGTATTAATTCCTCGGAGTTTGGTTGTTGTTTTTTTTGCTTTTGTTTTGTTTTTTCATGTCTTTTTTATTATTCACCGGTGGGTTTTTGTTTGTTTGTTTGTTTGTTTGATTCTGTTTTGTTGTTGTTGTTGTTGTTTTTTGTGATTCGAGGACAAAAAAAAAGCCAACGCAGATGCTAGAATTATTAATCTTGAGGTCAAGTTTTTCTTTCCAGTTGGAATTTTCGAGACCCTTCGTTTTTGAAGTCAATATGTAGGATATTCAATGACTATCCACATGACAGTACACCATAGATGTACACTATGCAGTACACACACCTGAAGGCTACATGTATTATGCTACTCTGCATTATATGACTAGTCCAGTGACAGAAATATGCAATGTTTGAACCATGATAAGAGATATGCGCACAACCTGTACTTATTCATTATGGAAACTTTACTTATCAAATGAGTGTTTTATGTGATCTGATGTGGGCCGGTGGCCTTGAACACTGAATAAACTTATTTACTGTTCAAACCTACTTCCTATTCTATGACAAGTCAGCAATGTAAAGGTTGAGGACATCGTGAGGTTGCGGGTTCGGGGGTTCGAGCCGCGGGCCCGACGTTGTGTCCTTGGGGAATTTTCCCCTCTTCACCCAGGTGGGAATGGGTACCCAGCTATAGACAGTGAAAGATCTTGTCAGTTTGTTAGTGTTTGAGCGCTTAACCAGCTGCTTGCACTGTATGCTTCCCGAAAAGCTGAGAATGTCTCTAGCTGGTGTTCTTTGGTCTGTTGGGGTAATAATATTGTGTAAAGCGCATAGAGCTTGCTTTCGAGTTGGGACATGCGCAATACAAATGCTATTAATTTATTATCAGAGATCACAATCATGACATTTCAGTCTGGCTTGCATTAACATCGATGAAGACAGATTAGTGTGAAATAAAAGGATATGAGATAGAAGTACAAGTTGAAAGCAATGACGCTCGTAAAGATGACGTGGATAGTGGGTAATGATGTGAACTAATGGTTAAGCAAGAAACTCAAATCAAAATTATGCAATCGCTCACACACTGTTGGTAGACTATTTTTTTAATAGTAGGTTGACAAAAGGGTTAACGATTTACAAAAAAGTCACTGTGCTCTTGTACTCGGCTTTAAATATAAACCTTTGTCACTACATGTATTATTCCTGTCAATTCCTACTGAACGTGGCATAGTGGAGATTGTGATGGAGGATCAAGTGGTTCGGACACCTCACACGGATGCCCCGATACCAACCAGCTCTGAGGGCATATAGTATCATCAAATATTCTGACTGGAGAGCCAGAGGAAGACCAAGGCGACGTTGGAGTTGGAGTGAATCTGTGGCCGACGCCCTCAGAGCTCAAGGGATGTCCTTCCTACAGGCCACTCGCCTTGCTGCAGACAGACGCCTGTGTCTCCCCGCGACACCCACCGGTACAAGCGGAAGAAAAAAAGTAAAGTAAAAGTAAGTGATGGGGGATCCTTGAACCCGAGGCAAGAGGGAACAATGATCTACACACGGCATTGTATCCCCTCCCATGCAGAATGGGCAAGTCTGCTTTTTAGTTGCTGGTTTTTTAGAAGTTTTAGTAAGAGTTTTACGGCAATTGCAACACAAAAAGCACATCTAGAATCGTTGGAACTTGTAAAGTTGAAAGTAAAGTTGTTCCCGCATCCGATCCGGACATTGGGGATTGCCTTGTCAGTGAGACAACTCCATGGGCGTTCAGAATATTGTGGTAGGGTGGCCCATTCCTTTCCACGCCACCTTTACTTCAATAACTGCAAGAGAGTAACAAACACAGGAAAGTAGGAGGAGAGATCAGGACGATAGAAGTTTGGTTGGAAAGAAGGAGCAAACCACACCAGAGCACCCACCAACTACCCACGTCGGCTTTTCATCACCCGGCTGTCATCATTTGTAGTGTTAGCTTAAATGGTATAAAGTTTTGCTATATCTAGTGCTGGTAATCCAATCCTGATTTTAATCTACATTTGGTCACCACTGGTCAAAGATCCAATCAATGAGTTGAGGTGGGGAGATCAATCCATAATCTTCCAACTTAGAACAAAACATGTACCCCTCAAATAACATCCCAACCGAATTGGAGTAAAGCAGTCTGCTGCCTGCCCACTATATGACTACCCCTCAGAGACAGTGGAATATCATCTGTTCTTCTGTAGAAAACTAACTGATTTAAGGGGATGTTTTCTTCCCAAGCTACCCCACACATCTAATTGCCTCTACTCCTCAAGACAACAATTAGAACAGACATGCAGCTATTACAGAATGGCATCATGCAGAAGAGTTAACGCTCAGATGCTACTGGATCGCTAACAACAACAACAACAATCTACACTCGGGCGTTCTTGAACACTTAATGTAGCTTATTATTACTGGGGAGTTTTCAAAGCTCCCCACTTGCTTGGCTTCGTTCTACGGAGCCAAACCTAATAAACCATACCTTACCTTACCATACTATACCATACGATACCTTACCATATCATACCACACCTTACCAGACCATATAACATCATACCATACCAAAACCACACCATACACAGATGAAAGAACAAGCCTTACAAATCCAACAACAATTTAATCACACCATATCACGCCACGCCACGCCACGCCACGCCACGCCACACTAGGCCACACCACACCATACCATATAACACCATATCATAACATACCATAACTTACCACACCATACCACGCCATACTATACCACACCACACCATACACAGATGAAAGAACAATCCTTACAAATCCAACAACAATTTTCGCTATATATTGTTTTCCAAAAATACATCGTCAACTACAGATATATACATATAATATCTCTCTTCAAATACAGTGCAGCCTCTCTATAACGACCTTCAGTATAACGACATCTTCTGTAGAGCGACGAGGTGCCCAGGTCCCGACGTTTTCCTTTTCTATATCATTAATTGTCATATTTCTTGTTGCCTCTCTATAACGACAACTCGCTATATCGACAACTCTCTATAACGACATTTTTTCTGGTACCGACGATGTCGTCATAGAGAGGCTGCACTGTATACATATAGTCACGTTTAAGGGCAAGTGGGCTAACCCAGATTTCGGGGGTTTCCAGAAATCTTGACCTACACCAAAGTGAGCATTGCCCTACCTAAAGGAGAAGTTTGGTTTCATTGTTGCGTGTATTTGTTTGGTTATAGAGAAAACTTTCCTTGTCTTTTAAAGAAACTGAAGAAGTGGCAAAATCTTTACCTTCGTTTTTCTCAAAACAGCATTTTTCGGGATAGCCCCCTTGTGCTTAAAAGCGACCATATATCTTCAAATACTGAGCAGACGTGAAGAAATACTGGTAAAAGGTGACCCCTCAGCTCCTGACGTCAAACTTGACCCAAGCTCCCCCCTTGGCCACCATAAGCAGAGGCTCTGGCACCACTGGGTACACCGACTGGTCACATGACACCGGGGTCAGCGTCTGCAAGATGGCCGCCAGAGCCACTTTCATCTCCAACAGGGCCAGTCTCTTGCCGATACAGTTGCACGGACCCTGAACGGTACGATGGGGGTAGTTTAGTAAGGGGGTTATTTTGTTACGGTACTTTCAACACAATACGGTCATATTTACGAGTCAAAGACTAGAGGTGTCACAAGAGAGTAGCATACTCGAAAAAGAAGGAGAGATCAGGACGACAGATGTTTGATCGGAAAGAAAGAGCAAACCACACCAGAGCACCCACAACCACCCACAGCGCACTTTAAAAATCTTTTCCCTTTTTTGTAAGTGTTTTACGTCGCTTGCAACTGCATACGGTTATATGAGCACGAGAGACACATTCATTTAAGATTTTCAGTTGGTAAGAAATTTTGAATTTTGCCCAGGTGCCGGCCGAAGTATACTCTTATCGATTTTAAACCACCAAAGGATTTTTAACGTGCTCAACTTGCACACGAGACCTCCGAGATTTTTTGTCCTTGTCCGAGAAGGCTAGGGGTAGATCTTTCCTACCAGAAGATTAGGGGTGTGGCTGAAAGACAGCAGTAAAAAGGAGCCAAGGAGTAGCAGTCGAAAAGCTGCAGAAAGAGCCAGGAGCTCAGAGGAGGGGTAAGTGGAGGCGAAAGCAGGCAACAGAACATTGCCAGAGACAAGAAAAGCAGGTGAAAGGAGACATTTTATAGAAGAACATTTTTCCGTCGCTACCCAGATTTGAACCCAGGACCTTTGAAGAGACGAACACCTTAACCTCTAGGCCACGAGAGCCCCCTTAGTAAGAGTTGTTCGGCTCTTGCAACACAATAAGGTCATATAAGACCCAAAGATTAGAGGTCTTACAGGAGAGTAACAAACACAATAAGGTCATATAAGACCCAAAGATTAGAGGTCTTACAGGAGAGTAACAAACACAATAAGGTCATATAAGACCCAAAGATTAGAGGTCTTACAGGAGAGTAACAAACACAAAAAAGGAGGGGAGATAAGGACGATAGATGTTTGATTGGAAAGAATGAGGGAAGATAAGGACGACAGATGTTTGACTGGAAAGAAGGAGGGGAGTTAAGGACGATAGGCGTTTGATAGGAAAGAAGAAGTAAACCACCCGCCAACCACCCACTTAATAAGAGTTTTTCGGCACTTGTAACACAATTAGGTCATATAAGTGCCCAAGATTCGAGGTGTTACAGGAGAGTAACATACATAATAAAGAAGGGGGGGGGGGGGGGGG